TACAACTAATGTTAAACGATGTTAGAATTTCAGAATTTGGGAAAGAAAAGAATAATCAAATTTTTACGGTTCATAATACTTCGATACTTTGAAATTGAATTTAGTAAATGAGACAATAATTATTCCTTGTGAATTCTCACATATAAAAAAATAATTATGCTTGAAATATTAATACGTAGAAAAATATACAATATTTTCTTCTTACATTTTCCGAACATTTTATATTTCTACGAACATTCCACGTTCCTCGTTAATAAAGGGACAGAAGTAACAAAAATCCGTAAACAAAGGTATGTACCAGGAAAGATAGAAATCCGTAAACAAAGGTATGTACCAGGAAAGATAAATATATATTTAGATATATACATACATATATATTTTATATATACATATAAAAGGGAGACTTGAAATCAGTATCAATCCTTTAAGATCATGATTTTTGACTGAAAATCATCCGAATGTAATGCTCTCGATCGTACCGCTTTGAACGCTGACAACAGACTGATCAGTATTCTCTTTATATGTGTAGTCTTTCATGGCATTCCCAAATTACGCTCATCATATCGAAAACTGCGTCATTTCTAATGCTCCTTCCGTTGAAATACCAGTCAATTTAAAGTATGGAGCCTGTGACAATATTTTCAAGCCCCGATTAACAATTATTTCCAATAAGTGTTGCTAATTAGTAATGAGTTAGACAAGGAAAGGAATAGCGGTAGACAAGGATAGCTATAGTACCGCGTGTTAGACAAGGTAAGGAATATGGGTAGACAAGAATAGCAATAGTATCCTGTGTTAGACAAGGAAAGCAATAGTATTAGACAAGGACAGAAAAAAGTGATGGGCGAGATTAACGCCATCTCGCGTTAGGGGACGCGAACTACGATTTCTTAATAGGAACACAGGATATAAAGAGAGGTATTAGACAAAGAAAGCACTAGTGTGCGACAAGGACAGAGAGAGAACGTTTCCTATTCGCTGGCTGGCACAAGAATAGCAATAGTATCCTGTGTTAGACAAGGAAAGCAATAGTATTAGACAAGGACAGAAAAAGTGATGGGCGAGATTAACGCCATCTCGCGTTAGGGGACGCGAACTACGATTTCTTAATAGGAACACAGCATATAAACAGAGGTATTAGACAAAGAAAGCACTAGTGTGCGACAAGGACAGAGAGAGAACGTTTCCTATTCGCTGGCGGGCAGCCAAGCTCCACCAATCACGGTCTAAACCAAGTCGGTCGGTGAAAAATCATTAATAACTCATTAATTACGATGATTCTGTGAACTTTTAGAATTGAAGAATGAAGAGTGAACCTTAAGAAACTTTCACATATACTTTTTAAATCATTAATAACTCATTAATTACGATGATTCTGTGAACTTTTAGAATTGAAGAATGAAGTATGGACCTTCAGAAACTTTCACATATACTTTTTAGTTCTCTAGACCCTCTCAATAATTAGTTATTAACAATTTTAGTACGTGATGTCGGGATCGACACCGCATACCGTCAAATATCTTTCCGGTTTTTCAATAATTTCATAGCTTTCTACTAAATTCCCATGTAACTAACTATTTTCATCTTAAAGACAACTCCTTTAGCTACATTCTTTTATAATTTTTATTATCATATCTTTCGCAGTTTAGAAGTTATTAAATATTATATTGAAGAGTTACCGGCTTATCGTACCCGTGCATGCCGAACTGTTCTAAACAATCGTTAATATTTAATTAACCGTATTAGATACGTGTACGAAAATTATTGAAGAATGTAAAGAAAAGACCGTGCTACATTCTACATGCATGAAAGTATACAATTAATCGTACATTTTTATAGAAATAACGAAAATATGTTATACCTGAATGCGACGAGTTTAGTACTCACCCAAAGAATTATTAATAACTCTCAAACTACAAGGGATATGTTAATGAAAATTATAATAGAATGTAGCTAAGGATGTTACCTTTTATACTCATATAGAAATATGTACCGGAAATTGTTACTGACAATGATATTAATGAAAAACCGTACATGTGAGTCCTACCGTTTCCGACGTTCTTCACAATAATTGTTAATAACTAATTATTGGAAGGAGTTGGCGAACTAAAAAGTATATGTGAAAGTTGCTTAAGGTCCACTCTTCATTCTTCAATTCTAAAAGTTCACAAAATCATCCTAATTAATGAGTTATTAATGATTTTTCACCGACCGACTTGGTTTAGACCGTGATTGGTGAAGCTTGGCTGCCCGCCAGCCAATAGGAAGCGTTCTCTCTCTGTCCTTGTCGCACACTAGTGCTTTCTTTGTCTAATACCTCTGTTTATATCCTGTGTTCCTATTAAGAAATCGTAGTTCGCGTCCCCTAACGCGAGATGGCGTTAGCGTCACTAATGATTTTTCTCTATCCTTGTCTAACTTATGGAAATGATAGGACAAAGTAATTTGCCCTCTTTGTCTAACTACTACATGCCCATTCTATATTCCGATTAACTCAGAATTTTCTCAGAGCATGGTTTTATGTACCAATGAACGTTTAAAAGGCTTACATGATAGTTTTAGTGGAAAATATAATACTTTATACACTCTTTTATTATATACATAATTTATAATACGTCTGCCTTATAATTCATTGGCTTTTATTGCGCTTTATATGCTTTGTTGAGAATATTTTGCGATTAAGATATTCTGATAAGTAAACAATCACTGGAGTAGTTATAATATTGGATTAATTATTATGTGTGCATTATATTCTATGTTTCTATTACTGAAGAAACAAAGCTGTCAGAAATTTACGAGGATATTGAGTATTTATTGTCTTTCTCGTCGCATTACTTCTACACCTCCACTACAATTTTACGCTCCTATTGTCAGAAAAGCATATTCGGTAGGAAAATATGATTACAGTTAATGTATTTTGTACTTATCTTGTTTAAGAGTCTTCCTACGTAGTTAGTAACTCTTCTGATATTCTATCATCCTATTTACAAAGAATAAATTTTGCTGAAAATGTTTCGAAGATATTCGGTAGAAGATAAAACGCATCGTAACTCTATACATAACTGGGAATAGTAAATAAATATATTTAACAAACAATTCTTTTCTCCTTTTGTTTATTTCATAATTTATTGAATGTATTTACAAGATTTCGTTTTTTTTTAATACAATTAATTTACATTAAATACAAGTTATGCATACAATATAAAAATTGTACAAATTTTTTGTACGTACATACATTTCGTATCGTTCAAGTCTGTTTTTTCACTCAGCAACATATGTTTCTTTGTCTTTATAAATATAAGATTATTTGTTATAAATTTGCAATTATAATTAAGTACTTCATATACATGGTTCAGTTGCTCATCACACCATTATACATATATTAATTCATCCGGCAAATGTTTTCCTTTAGAATTAACACCATGACTCGGTAAAATTATACTACGCTGCATAACATTAATAAACCGATACATGTTTAAAAATGAACTAAATACTATTGCCATTCAGTTTTGTCAAAATTCAGAATCTGAATTATCAACATTCGTGATATCAAGTTTTGACATCAAAGGTATCAATGGTTCGTGGCATCCGTGCTGTCTGAGTTTCTTTGCACAGTCTACCAGACGAAGAATAAACAATTAACAGTATGCTTAACTCAGCTTACATAAATGAAGAACTCCGTAATTAATGAACAGCCGTGGCATTATCGTTTTCTGAAGTGTTCTGGCTCTTGTTATTATTGCAATCGCCAGAACAACTTAACCTCTAACGAAATATGTTTCCGCCGAAAGATTTAGGAAAAACAGATTATATCAGTATAAATATCCAAGAAAGTGCATCATTTGCACGAGGAACATCACGTAGTCTTTGGAGGGTAAGTTTCGAAAATATTTTCTTTTTATATTTGCAAAGTGTTCTTATCTTCAAATTTTTTTGAAAAAATATCTATAAATTCTAAGTATATTGTATACAACTAAAAAATCTCGTTTTTCAGCAATGGAATCAATTATCAAGGTTTCAGAGAAATATCCTTTACTTTTTAGTCATTACAATAATATTAGTCATATTTTATCTCCTACCTGGTGATAATAAGAATGGAGTGGTAGATGAGAATGACTACAATAATATAGAGGTAGTGCAAGATACTCTTAAATATGAAAAGGTATGATAAGTTCAATGTAAATAAGATTAACATTATTTAAAGAAACAGTTTTATATATTAAGTGGTTCCTTTAAAAATATTTTGTAGGCAGCAGAAGATATCGTAGTTGATAGTGTAAATCAGGAACATAAAGGGGGTGGAGAGGTCATTGAAGAACCTGAATTCCAACCAGAAATAAACCAAGTGGACGATGACCAAATTGGAGAGCCACCACAACCTAAACCAAACACACTTAAATTTAATGGTATGTTTGCATTAAATATTGTACTTTTAATTTATTTGCTAGTAGCAATACAACAACGTATTTTTAGGCCCACAGAATGGTAGACAAAAGGCTGTAGTTGAAGCATTTAAACATTCATGGAATGGATACAAAGAGTATGCATGGGGTCATGATAATGTAAAACCAATATCAAGAAAATATTTTGAATGGTTTGGTTTAGGTCTTACTATAGTTGATTCTCTGGATACTATGTACATAATGGGTTTAAATAATGGTAGTAATTAATATTTTGTATGCTATGTATACAATTATAAAAGTTCATGATATTAGTAATACCTTTTTATGCTTTCAGAATTTTTAGAAGCTAAAACATGGGTTGATAAAAATTTAGTGTTCACTTTAAATAGAGACGTTAATTTATTTGAAGTTACAATTAGGGTATTAGGAGGTCTATTATCAGCATATCATCTTTCAGGTGACAAGATTTTCTTGAATAAAGCCGTAAGTTAACCCCTATGTTTTAATACAATAACACAACATCGTTTGGACAAATTTAAATATAAAAATTTGCATTTGATCTAAATTGTAGACATCGTTAGGGGAACGTATGATGCCAGCGTTTTCTACGACATCTGGGGTTCCCTATTCCGACGTAAATCTTGGTACTAAAACTGCACATGGTCCTAAGTGGGGTCCCGATAGTAGCACTAGCGAAGTCACATCGATTCAACTAGAATTTCGCGATTTAAGCCGTAGTACGGGAGACCCTAAATATGAGGTGTGTACGAATATGTTTTCATGATAAATATTTCCTTATTCGTGCTATTATTCTTCAGGAAGCAGTAGCAAAAGTTTCGGAACACGTACACCAATTAGAAAAATACGATGGTTTAGTACCCATTTTTATTAATGCTAATACCGGACAATTTAGAGAACACGCAACAATTACGCTTGGTGCACGTGGCGATAGTTATTACGAGTATTTGTTGAAACAGTGGCTTCAAACTGGAAAGACTATTAATTAGTTAGTATTTTATGGTTTCTGTTGATTGGGAGCTTGTTCTTTAAACTTGAATGATTCTAATAAATTTATGATAATAATTTAATTGTTAATGTTTTCAGCCTTCGGGATGACTATCTGTTAGGTGTTGCTGGAACTCAAAAACATCTAGTAAAACGTACAGCAATTAATAAGTATCTTTTCATAGCGGAGCTAGTTGGTGCAAACAAAGAAATAACGCCAAAAATGGTATGTTTTTGATTATATGAACAACCATAATTATTTTGAGTCCTACATTATTGGTAATTACAACATCTACTTTATAGGACCATCTTACGTGCTACTTAGGCGGTACTTTAGCTTTAGGGGTACATCACGGTTTACCATCAGATCATATGGATTTTGCTAATGAACTTGTTAAGACTTGCTACAAAACGTACGCTATTCAGCCCACGTTTCTTGCACCAGAAATTACGTATTTCAATATTGAGGTAATTATGACAAGTACTAAGTTTACTTATTACAAGAAAATGTAAACCGATTATAATTTCAGAATACGGACGAGGAGAAATCGATGGACATGTATGTAAAGATAAACGACGCGCATAATTTACTCAGACCAGAGTTCATTGAAAGCCTCTTTTACATGTGGTACTTTACTGGCAATAAGACATTCCAAGACTGGGGATGGCAAATATTTCAAGTAAGTTATCGACAAATATTTTTCTCTAAACATGCACGCACTGATTGTATCTCTAACATGTGAACACAATTTAATAGGCTTTTGAGACTTATACTAAAGTGGAAAAAGGGTACACCAGCATTGGTAATGTGAAGGGCATTTCTAATACCCGACAGAAGGATATGACAGAAAGTTTTTGGTTCGCTGAAACTTTAAAATACTTATACTTGTTGTTCGACGATACAAGGCAATTAATAGATCTGGATAGATGGGTATTTAATTCCGAAGGACATCCATTACCCGTATATGAATCATAATCCAATATCACAGAAATTTCATGTATAAATTTGCACCGTTAGAGGAGTCTTAAATACATTTGAGGCCAGTGAATAGATACCCTAATGATATACACATGTCAATACATACCCTAATAACATAAGAAATTAGTCGGATTAATGTACTTTAAAATAGACCTTCACATTAGAGAAATGATCTTTTAACGATAGTTTTCGATCGTTACATTTTCGCAGAAACATTTTTCATGTGTTATTCTATGACCAAAAAAAAGAAGCACAGAAATTATACATTTGATAGCAATTAACTATTTATACTCAATTTTTTACTAATTTTTCAATGTATTTTGGAGTTGATCATTATATTCTATTCCGCGACGAATAACATAATACAATTAACACAGGACATATTATGGACCACACTTGCGAAAAGTGTATCAAAATTGTTAAGTACAATATTTAAAAAAAAAAAAACGAAAAAAAATAGAAAATAATTGTTCTCCATTATTTGTAGCCTAATATACCAAATCCCTTTACTCTATAGAACAAATAGAGTATTTGCTGTGTTTTAGTTGGAATTTTTCTTTGTAACAATTCGTAAATTCACTGGTGCATGAGACATAATACTTAAAAACAAGAATTAATTTATTAGCGAGCTTTCAAAATCCTGAAAGCATTCTTTAATTTTTCTGCATTTATTATACAAAAATCTACAATAAAATATTCGTCACTATGCAAGCTTGTGTGTAGTATATACTTAAGTTCTTGATTTTGACTACCACTAAAAATTTGTTAAATTCTTAAACATTATTTGGTCATTACAAGTTAAGCCTTATTTATTGCACATTTTGATATAAAATATTAACAAAAAATCGTTTACGTAACTATTATAGATGATATTGAAACGGACGAGAGCAATCAATAAATTAAACTACTAAATATGGTAGTGTACTAAAACTATATAACTGCTTCATTTAACAATTATCAAGATAGTACAGAATCGCCACTATTTGCAATGTAGATTTTACTAAATAGTGAAAAAGTCAGTCTAAATTAAGGAAAGTAAGTTTTAAATTTTACTTTATATCACAAAACAGCATTATGTGATGGAAGTTAAATTCAAATGCACAGATTTTGTATACTTTTCGAAATGTATTATATCATCAAACTGATTTTACGAATATTTTAATTGTATATAAAATGTTGTATAAAATATAGTACTACCAAATAGTTTTTCATTTTTCTAAATTGTACAATTTAACATTTGTTTCATGTTTCAATAAGCGTAATTTACTAAGGACAAATTACAACTAAGCAGTAGTAATATCAAGTATATAATTAAGTTAGTCAAACATGTTACACTATTACTGATTATTAAATTACAGATTGTATTACCTCTTGATTATTCAAATGTTATATTGTAATTGCAAGAC